GATTAGCCTTGAGCCAGATCACTGGGGGCTAAGCATGCTAAGCTTACTTCTAAGTGAGATGTAAATCTAGGCCTTGAGGACCTTCTACTTTTGCTCTGGATATCGTGTCCTTTGTAACACTGATCAAATCCTGATAAGCAAAGATTATTGTATGTAGGGCACCTAGTTAAATACGCAACAAAATTATTCTAAGCTATAGTATCACAAGTTTGGAAGCAGGACTGGCATCCACTTCCTAAATAACATGCCTCTGGAAACTATGAACTGTGATAAATGCCGATAGTTGGAGAAGGGCTTCAGGCCTTTTGTTAATAGGGTTGCTATGAGTCGTGCTTGACTCGATGGCAATCAACAACAACAATCAAGACAGTATGACAAAGCTTTTGAGTCATCTATGAACACTTCAGAGAGTTCACAGAAGAGAATGAAACTGCCACGGAACATGTTTAAAACATTCATACACTGGAACAAGTCTGTTCTTTGACACAATATCCTCTAGAGCAGAGTGATAAAACAGATGACTGAAATTAAAATTCAGTGATTTCCTGTAGTGGATTTAATAGCAAAGTATTGTTGTTGAACCAGGACTTTGAGTGGGTATTTAACCTTCAGCTGAAAATTTGCATTTCTATCCCCTAACTTGTTGTGAATGACAGGATAATATCCACTTATACTTGGACTAGGAGGCAGTTGTCAGAACAGAGCAAAGAAACACTGCATGATTAAAAATTGGGAAGGGTGTGCATCAAGGATGTGTCCTATCTCCATACCTTTTCAACCTGTATGCAGAACAGATTATTTGGGAGGCTGGGTTCTATGAGGAGAAATGTGGCGTCAGTATTAGAGGTATACTCATCAACAGTCTGTGTTATGTAGATGACACAACCCTGTTTACGGAAACTAAGAAGGACCTGAAGTGCTCGCTGCAGAAGGTCAAGGACTGCAGCCCTCAATATGGATTGAAGCTCAACATCAAGAAAACAAAGATTCTCACCACTGGACCGATTGGCAGCATCATGATGGATGGTGAAGAGATTGAAATTGTTGATAGCTTCAGTTTGCTTGGCTCTACAAACAACACTCTTGGTACCAGCAGCCAGGAAATTAAAAGACAAATTACACTGGGAAAGTTTACTATCAGAGACCTCTCCAAAGTACTGAGGAGCAATGATATTAGTCTGGAGACTAAGGTGTGCCTGATAAAATGACTAAGGATAATAGAAGGAGAGTTGATGCCTTTGAGCTTTGGTGCTACAGAAGAGTATTGAATATACCATGGACTGCTAGGAGAACAAACAGGTTCATCATGAGGAGGGTGAAACCAGGCTGCTCCTTGGAGGCAAGGATTTTGAAGCTCCATCTGACATACTTTGGACATGTTGCAAGGCAGGAGAAGTCCTTGGAGAGGGACATCATGCTTGGGAGAGTGGAGGGACAGCGCAGGACAAGAAGACCCTCGATGAGATGGATTGATTCTCTTATGGGGGTAATTGGGATAGGTGTGTCAAGACAATAAGTTTAACAAAAGATAGAGCCGGATTTCTGGCTGTTGTACATAGGGTCTTTATGAGGTGCAAGAAACTCGATGGCACATAATAATAACAACAACATCCCCTAACTACTGAATTAATCCACAGTTTGCAAGTGCCGCAGGTGATTCTTGCATATTCTGATAAAGACATACTTGCTTTACTGTCCTTTTCAGATAATGCCTTTTCCTGTGTGGAGTAAGTCAGTCCATTGGCATAATTTTTTTACCCCATCATATGTGTTTATGTCTTTTCATAATGCTATTGAACTATTCATAGACTACAATATAAGGTAAACCTAAACTTCTATAGTGAAAAGTGAAACAAAGTTTGTGACTGGCTTTCATTTCAATATTTGCCTTATTGTGTTGGTCTGGAACCAGACTTACAATATCTCAGAGTTATTTTTGTGTCTGGGGTACAAATGCAAATTCTCAGAAGGCTGAGCCCAGTGTTGAACTTGAATCTCACCAGTTCACAAATTAATCAATGCTGTTTGTTTCTCCCCTTAAAACCAAAGAGATTTCCAAGGAGCATGGTCAAGTTCCTGATGCCTGAAGTGTCTGAATACAGCCTAGAGCACTGGCTATCTTTCTGGTCTTGGTTAACCACTGAAGCACCGTGAGTTGTTCTTGATCTCCTACTTTTGTAGCTTGTTAGTGCCGTCTGTGTGCACTGAAAAGACAATCTAGAGATCATCAGCTGAAAATGGAGACACATTCATTCAAATGATTTGTATGGTTTTCCAGTTATCCCAAAGTCATAGGTTGCAGGTCTTACGCCACTTTCAAGTTTATGAAATTCTACAAAATCATTTATTGTGTTTATTTCTCTACAAGATTCCCTTGACTGCCTAATCTACCCAAGCAGAGAAAGCAAGGCTAATAGCTCACACTGTTATTAAAGGTTAAGGCTCTCGAGGTTGAAGGGTTTAAGATTTTACTTAAGTTTAATCAATTGTGAGTCGGACTCAAGGGTTCTCAGGGGATTATCAGCCAATGGACGTTGGCTAATTTTGTACCACTCTGTTTAGTTACTGAGAAACATAACAATGGATCTTAACACTTTTTAATTCTATACACCTCTTGAGACAATGGGGAAATTAGCAACTGTCTTGCATAATTGTCAGACTTGTCAATTTGCTTTTTATTTCATTTTGGCTTCCTCTCTATTCTCTAAATGTTTTCTTCAAAAGGTGCCTACTTTCCTTTGTAAGAAGTTGAGGGTTTTTTTGCTTCTAATGTCGTTGGGGAGCGGGGCAGAAAGTTGAGCTTCCATCTTTATATTTGGGTAGTGTATCGAGTGGTTCTTAGGAAAGTAGCTGATGAACTTCAGTGTTCTCTGTAGAGAGAATGCATGGTGTGTGTTGCTTTATTTCTAATTCAGCCATTAAAAGAGAGATAGGCCTCAAAATTCAGACCTACAGCTAAGTAGTTAATAACCCCAGTATACTTTTGAATATTTATTTTAAAGAACTTCATTTTCTAATTTCCCACTATTTTGGCTGCATGAATGAGCTTGCTTTTATGAAGGCTTACTCAAGTCAAATATCTCATATTGGGGACCACTTAGTTTTTTAGGGTAGCATTTACTACAAACTTGTACTTCAAAGAATGACTTTTTTTGTTTATCAAATTCTGAATGAATTTTCTTTTAAAATTATGAATGTGATTGTGATGGCCTTTTAACCATCACGTCAATGCTAGTTCCTTGTTGGTGATTACGAGAATTGCTTATAGATATGACCACTTCGTCTCTCCTAATGGTTCTTGCTTATTAAAATCAGATATATTGTCACTGAAGACTTAGGGCCAAGTCTTACTTTCTGTTTTGTATGCATGCATAGTTAGAGTTATTGTAGTTATTGTCATCACTGATTTTTTAATGGAATAAAAAATACATCCAGATTTCTTACTGTGGACATGGCTTTGACTTGTGTCTTAGGCGTATCTTAAAATATAAAAGAACCAAGGAGTCCCTTAAGTCTACCAGCAAACCCTCTGAGTGGAAAATATTAAGCTAGCTTACCTGGTCAAGCCATTCAACTAGGATTCATCTCTGTTACTGTAGGTTCCCAGTATATTAATGCATGGATCAAATGCTTGTCTCTAAGATAGTACTGGTATGATGGATTAATTTCTTTATAAAGATATCACTACATGAAGCCATGCTAGTGAAATGTATCTGAATTCTATAGAATAAATAGCTGCAACTCTAACAATAGGCCTATAAAATTCCAACATAATGTGTGTGATGATAGATTATTGAATGGATTTCAAGGGCACTGAATGGAAATTCAGATAAGGTGAGATCTGTCTCAGGTGTGACACACAAAACCCTTTCGAACTTACTTGGGCACGGGCTTCCGTGGGTAGAAAAGTGAAGTTTCAAAAAGTTTCCAAAGCTTCGTCCAGCTCTGAAAAGTAAAGATTATTCTTTAACTGCATTCGGTTGTTTTTCTCAACCTTGGAAGAGAATGTGAATTTTGAAAGGAAATTTAGGTTTCTATATTCTGATATTCCATAGGTATATCTATATCTTTGGTTTCAGAATGTGGTTCTACTTCATCTTATGGCAAAAAAATAAACCAATTTTTAGACTCTTAGATGTTGTTTTGTTGTTGTTATGTGCCGTCGAGTCGCCTGCGACTCATAGC